CTCAAAAAAAAAAAAAGAAGTTACTGGTATTAATATAATACCCTTAATTACTTATTGCGATTCTACTATCAGTGAATTGGCAATTTAATGATATTATTAAATAATTTTAACAATCCATGCCACTTACAATGAGATTTAATATATAGCACAGTCCCTCTGTTTAGAACTGCAAGATAGTTTTCTAACCTGGCATTTGAGTGATGTCTTTATGTTAGCATCACTGGTTTTCAAGTAAAGGATTCTATTAAGGGTAACTTCTTTATAAAAACTTAGTGAAAATTTATCCATTTTGTAGATTTCCAAATGATACGGTTACAAGCAAAATGTCAATGACTATGCTCCACATCAGAGTTTAGAATCCAGCATCTGTTCTTGTACCTTTCAGTATTAAGGAGTTAGCATTGAAGAGTAGTAGATCAGGCCTTTTAAAATAGCATATGCTTTGAATTCTTGGTAGTCAGCAGTTTCACATGGTCTACATAGTATTGCTGGACAGGGCCTGAGTCATGCCTGTAACTGGTTTAGTCAGACTAAAATATGTGTAGTAGCTCTTTTGCCTGATGCTTGAGATGCAGCTTTGTAACTATTTTTGCTTCTCATTTCAGTTTTCCAAACCCTAGAGATGACTTTTCATTGTGTTCAATGACTTTACAGGTCATTCCTGCTTCTGGGATCAAACTCTATGTTGTGCTTAAGAAATGTGTCGCATCAGACACAGTGAATCACAAGACAGAGATATTTACATATTGCATAAATATTTTATTAGATTTCAAGGTGTGTTTCAGTTATGACACTGAATCTTCCGTGTGTACATTCCTAATATTGCAGGGGTTAAAGGAGGGTTATATAGTTAACCAAAGTTCAGTAAAGTTCAGAACCACTCTTACCATTATTTTATTTTGCCTTTCAAATAATTGTATACTTAAAATACTTTGTATTCTTATGTAAAATATATGTACAAGATGACCATATATACTTGGACATATCTGGACTTCAAATTTGCTAGAACTTAGTTGCGTCCCAAGCTGGCTAGTATCTGGACATTCATCATTTCTGTTTGGAGGGTAAGAATGCTCATTCCCTGGCTGCTTTACTGGAGAGGATCAGGTGTGTTGCTTGAACTAAGACTTTGTCCCTGCCATATCTAACTTCTCTGCGCTCCTGTGTCCTGGCTGTCATCTGAAAATTGTTGCAGATCATTTGAGTTTTTGTTAGAATTTTGCTTTGACTTAAGTAATGAAAACAGTTCAGAAAACTGCACTGAACAATTTAATATAACAACACAGACTGCAACTAAACTACCTGCTGGTACTTTAATCCTCACATTGATCTTATAGGTACTTTTCTTGTTGGAGATGAGGAAACTGAGGCTTAGAGTAATTTGTTCTGACAAGATCATATGGTTAGTAAGTAGCAGAGTAGGGACTTATCTAGACCTATGCTTTTAATTATGTTTTACTATCTCCCAGACCTCCCAGGTTTTTGTGTATGTGTTTTTTTTGTTTGTTTGTTTAGCACAACTGCAATGTGATACTTCCTCCTTTGAAATTAAAATACAATAATTGACTAGGAAAAAAAAAAAACAAAAACCAAAAACCTGGGACATACACTGCTTCCTTGGACATTTCCTTCTTAAAGCCTCCCGAGCCACCTCCTCCACACACAAACTCAATCACATGCATCCTCTTTTCTTTCCATTGAAACTTATCCCAACTTTGGTCCTAGCATTTATCACTGTATTTCACCATTTGACCGTAGGTCTTTGAGAACAGTACTTCTTTATCTCTGTATGCCCAGCATGAGGTAGCACCTATCCATGTGTGAAAGTGGAAGATACCTACTAAAATTGTATTAATTAAACAATTTTTCATTTTCTAATGTTATTCTGTACAGTTAGAGTGCCAATATTTGGTGAAAATGTGAAAAAACTATCAGACACTGAACATTTTCTAATGTTTACAGAATGAAGAGGAACAGTTTATCTGTTGAGAATAAAATTGTCCAGTTGTCAGGAGCAGTGAAACAGCCAAAACTTGGGTTCTACTCTTCCCTCAACCAGACTCATACACACACGGTTCGTCTAGACTGGGGGAGTTTGCCTCACCATGTAGTATTATGAATTTTTCAGTATCTTCCTTTACTAGATCGGGCCCATGCATCTTCTGTATGTAGGAGATGGAATGAAGTTTTTCATATTCCTGACCTTTGGAGAAAGTTTGAATTTGAACTGAACCAGTCAGCTACTTCTTATTTTAAGTCCACTCATCCTGATCTCATTCAGCAGATCATTAAAAAGCATTCTGCCCATCTTCAATATGTCAGCTTTAAGGTAAGAAAAATAAGCATTAAATGGAAACCATGACTTACATTTTGTTAACAATGCTATTGTGTATCTAGAGCCTTATTTTGAGGCAGTCAGTGAGTTTTGCAAAGCATTTTATCCGAAGCGGTTTCCTGTTTTTCTACAGTTATTTGCATCGATTGAAGTGTAGATCTTGAACTGTAATTGAAAAACTTAAAATGCAGTTTCCATCATTTGTATGCTGTTATTAAAATTCAGGTAATTGTAAAAGATTTGAAAATATGAAGTGCTTGGAAAGCTAATTTGTCATCATCTCTGTTTTTCATTTTATAGTCTGAGACATTTTGTACGAAGAAAAAATACTCATTTATACGATAGCTCAAAGGAATGAATAAAATTTTGCAATTGAATTCTACTAAATAATTACATTGCCGTTATTTCTGATAAATTATCATCAGGAAATTATTTGAGATTAAAAATTGTCTGTCTAGGTTGACAGTAGTGTCGAGTCAGCAGAAGCTGCCTGTGGTATACTCTCTCAGCTGGTAAATTGTTCCATCCAGACCTTGGGCTTGATTTCAACAGCCAAGCCAAGTTTCATGAATGTATCAGAGGTAAGGATATTATGCGTTTTTGGTGAGCTATACTAAAATCCCTAAAGACTGCCAAACTAGGCAAAAGCCATTTTTTCCTAAAGACAGACCATCTCCTATTTGTATTCAAAGTACTATTTCAAGTTGTTTTCTGTTGACTAGCACTTATTTTTGCAAAAATAGTTTATGCATGTTTTCATTCTTTAGATGTATTTTGTAACTGTAGTCATTGTTCCCACAGTGTCATTAATATAAAATTTGGATATTGTGCTTATTCTATTTAAATAACAATTTATGTAGTTACTTTGAACATGGAGCATGTAGAGGCAATAGTGGATGTTTTTCCTGGGATTCTGTGGCCTCTCTTTTGGAGGTGGAACAATATAATATTTAACTAAATGAACCTATGCTTGTTAGCATGATGTTTACATTCATGCAGTAGGAACTCCAAAAGAAAAGTGGCTTAAAAACATGATCAAAGTGTATTTCTCTCACATTAAAGAAATTGATAGATGAGACAGTCCATAGCTGGTATGAAGGTGGTAGGAACCTAGGTTTCTTCCAGCCGCTCCACTCTCTCCAAGGTGTTTCTTCAAGATGACCATCTGAGCTCCAACCATCACGTCCTTGCTCTGGGGGCTAGGGTGTTAGAAATGGGGGAAGAAGGGTGTGCCTTCTCCTTACCAAGGAGACCACCCATAAGTACTACACAGTGTTTTCTGTTTACCTCTAATTCTGACCACACCGGATTCTAGGGAGTCTGGGGAATCTTTGAGCTGGGTGGCAGTGTGCCCAGCTAAAAATTGGGACTGATTTAACAAACAAAGGAAGAATGGTTGCCAGGAAGCAACCAACCATGCTCTGCCATAGAAACTAATACCGTATTCTCCTCATTCAGGCTTCAACCTGAATGCCGTCTCCTTGGAGAGCCCCTCCTTAACTGTGAAAATGGCACCCCCTGCTCCAGTAATAATGTACTCTACTGTTGCATTATTTTTATCTTCTTCATGTCATTCATCAGTACTTGAAACCACCTTATTTTTTTAATGTGTTTATTCTCTTCTCTTTACACCAAACATAAACTCATTGAAGGCAGAGATTCTATTTTGTTTACCATTATAAACCTAGAGTCAGAATAGTGTTTGATATATGATAGACATTAAATTATGGTAGTTGGTAAAGCTGGCTAATGGACATTTTCCTGTGGAAGAAGATAGAGGAATGGCAGCATCTCTCTTATAAACTGGGTCATGGCAGTCTTCTAGCCAGTATTTCTGCTGGCCTGTTTATCTTCTAAAGGGATGTGCTGAAAAAAATGGGTCATTTAGGGATTAGAGTAATGTAAGTAATCCGACGAAATTTACCACTTCTAGATAGTTATTTCCTTGTTTATGAACTACAAAATCAGATTACCCTGAAATTCTTCTTATATTCTAAAAGCTGTCTCTAATGTTGCACATCAGCTTCCAGGGCCAGCTTCTAGGTTCGCTGATGCAGTCACCAGGGCTAGATACCAGGAATTAATTAGCAAGCTTCATTTCAAGCTCTGCCTCTACTGTTTAAAGTGAGCTCTGTGGATCTCTCTGAGACTTAGTTTTTTAAATCTATAAACTAAGGAAAAATAAAAGTATAGCATTTTGCTAAGCATAAATAGTACTAAACTAATACATTGTTATTATAATGAAATATGTACTCTAATAGTTTTTAAAGTCGTCCTTCAGGACTAAAGCAGTCAGTTGAAAGTTGATTAAAGGGAAACTAAACCTTGTGTTTGTATTTCCCTAATAATTTTGGCACCATAAAATTTACTGAAGAAGTCTAGCCTTGTACCATTTCAAAATTTGTGTAAACCAGTTTACAATTAGTGTAAATCAATAAGTTTTCTTATAAATTAATGAACATTTATAACCAATTTGGTCATTCTGTTAGGCATAATAGAACCTTTGGTAGAATCCAACTTGATTGATTTTGAAAAGGGAAAAATGATCATGTATTTTGGATCAAGATTTGGTTTCCAGACTTTCTGTCTTTGCCAAAAGATACTGAATCTGAAAATTTCTGAAGTTCTACTCATTTTCAGGTCAAACTAGAAGTAAGCTTTAGTCTGTCAGTCTTCAAAGCATTTACAGACTTGGATTTACTTTGGATAATTTGCTAGGAAAAGGATGTCACTGAAGATTGTGAAATCTTATAAAATGAATTAAAATCTCATTTATTCATTCAACACATCTTTATCGTCCATTTACCATGCTATGTGCCAGATACTATTTTAGGTGCTAGACATATGGGAGTGGATAAATCAGATAAAAATTCTGTTTCTTCTAGGGTAGGGGTCAAAAAGATTCAGATAGCAAATATTTCAGGCTTTGGGGGCCAACTAGTTACACCGCAACTATTCAACTCTAACACTGGAGTCTGAAAGCAGACACAGATGCACAGACAATATTTAAATAAAGGGCATGACTGTGTTCCCATCAGACAGTATTTAGGGATACTGAAATTCAAGTTTCATGTAATTTTCATGTCATAAAATACTATTCTTTAAAAAATTTTTCCAACCATTTAAAAATACAAAAACCATTCTTTGTGAGCCATACAGAAACAGACCATAGGCTGGATTTGGCAAGTTGTCTGTAATCTACCAACCCTTGTTCTAGGAAGTAAATATACAATAATTATGTCCTTTTAATACTGAAAACCAAATCCTTAACTGAAGTAATCGGAAGACATTTTTAATGAAATCTTTGAAGCTTTTTTTCCTCATATTTCGTTTATCAATTATAAAAAGTATAAAACTATACTTCATTATAAAAATATCTTCTACTGGAAAATGATTCTGTGGAAACAGCCATATGTTCATGGTTCTTACTATCTTATCTTTTTATTTTTATTTTTATTTATTTTTTTTTTTTTGAGACGGAGTCTCGCTCTGTCACCCAAGCTGGAGTGCAGTGGCCTGATCCTGGCTCACTGCAAGCTCCGCCTCCTGGGTTCACGCCATTCTCCTGCCTCAGCCTCCCGAGTAGCTGGAACTACAGGCGCCCGCCACTGCGCCCGGCTCATTTTTTGTATTTTTAGTAGAGACGGGGTTTCACCATGGTCTCGATCTCCTGACCTTGTGATCCGCCCGCCTCGGCCTCCCAAAGTGCTGGGATTACAGGCGTGAGCCACCGCGCCCGGCACTATCTTATCATTAGCATGTATTGGTATAGTTTTAGTGAATTACTTAAAGCTGTACATTTTAAAATAATGTTTTCATAATTTTTTCTTATGGCCATGCAAGTCTCATTTTGTGTCAGCACTTACAGTTGTTTTTATCAACTCAAAATCATTATCATCAATCAAAATTGAAAATACACCGGTGGATGATCCTTCATTGAAGATTCTTGTGGCCAATAATAGTGACACTCTAAGACTCCTAAAAATGAGTAGCTGTCCTCATGTTTCATCTAATGGTGGGTTACATTTTTTAAAGCTAGAATGATACGATATTTTTATTACAATAACTATAAAGATGCAGTTTCTTTTTGAAAATTATATTCCTATGAATCATAAATTAAGTAAGTTTTTTCAAAAGATTTCTTAATCTGCAAGATAGGTATAGTTATAGTAACCTTCTCCTGAGATATTTTAGTTTTACATATATACACATGATTTTCATTATATGCTTAATACCTCCTGGCAGACATGCTCTCAGAAGTTGTTAGATAGCTTTTTCACAAATAATGAATAATTAATATCAAATTTAAATTTACAAAATACTGTATTAGGATCAGTATGATTCTTTGTTCTTAAGAATTTTCCCCAACTTCCCACAGGAATTCTTTGTGTAGCTGATCATTGTCAAGGCCTTAGAGAACTGGCGTTGAATTATTACATGCTAACTGATGAACTTCTCTTTGCGCTCTCAAGCGAGACTCATGTTAACCTTGAACATCTTCGAATTGATGTTGTGAGTGAAAATCCTGAACAGATTAAATTTCATGCTATTAAAAAACACAGTTGGGATGCACTTATTAAACATTCCCCTAGAGTTAATGTTGTTATGTACTTCTTTCTATGAGAAGAGGAATTTGAGATGTTCTTCAAAGAAGAAACCCCTGTTACTCACCTTTATTTTGGTTGTTCAGTCAGCAAAGTGGTTTTAGGACGGATAGCTCTCAACTGTCCTCGACTGACTGAGTTAGTGGTGTGTGCTAATGGTCTTCAGCCTCTTGATAATGAACTTATTTGTGTTGCTGAACACTGTACAAACCTAACAGCCTTGGGCCTCAGTGAATGTAAAGTCAGCTGCAGTGCCTTCGTCGAGTTTGTAAGACTGTGTGGGAGAAGGCTAACACAGCTCTCTATAATGGAGGAAGTTTTGATCCCTGATGAGGATTATAGCCTAGATGAAATTCACACTGAAGTCTCCAAATACCTGGGAAGAGTATGGTTCCCTGATGTGATGCCTCTCTGGTAATTGGCTACCAAAGATTCCGAAATTGTTGTTGTTTTTTTAGATCAGTATGATTAGCTGCTTTCTATCTAAGCAAATGTAAATTTTAAAATGTGTTGCTGACATATTTTAGGTCAAATATTTGATTGTTTGCAAAGTGTCTTAATGGATTGCTGCAGAAACATTTGAAAAAAAATAAGAAATTTGAAAATCAAGGAATTGCTGTAAATAGGGCACAAGCCCTGTATGTGGATTAGATGGTTGATATGCCAAAAACTGCAGATGGTTTCTAAGTAGATTTCTCAGCTTTCCTTGAAGGCATATTGTAGCTTGCTAAGTAAATGTGTAATATTGAACTTGGATTCCGTAAGTTATGTCATTTACTTTATTACATTGTTTTATTTGATTCTATTTTATCTTGGTATTAATGTATTTTATAAAATATAAAATATTTTAAAGCTTATTTAATTATAACATTTTAGCACTATATGAGATCATCTTGTGATTCAATAAATAGCTTCTGATTTCCAAGGTACTTCAGATTCTACTTTATTGAGAGATATTGAGAGATAATGGACATTCGATTAAAATTTTAAAATACTAACTCATTTCATAATGATACTGATGTGAAAAGGGAAGAGATACTCATTCTGATTGTTAGTTGGTACACTATTTGAATAAAGCAGTAAATGCCGCAGGATGTGTTTGGGAGGGAGTCAGCATTCGCTGCCTCCTGCTACGGATCTGGAACTGTGTCAGATCCTCTGCATAAGTGATCTTAGAATTTAATTAGCAACACTGTTAGAACTCCTTAGTGGCTGCTTATTGTCTTGAGGGTGAAGATCTAGCCTTAAAATAACCCACAAGGCCCTGCAAGGTCTGGTCCCTCCCTGCTTCTTTTGCCTCATTTCCCATCAAGCTGCCCCTTGCCCTTTGGTTCCCATTTCCTTTCAGTTCCTCAGAACTGCCCTGCACCCTCTAGTCACAAGGAATTGACTCGTACCTCTCTCTGCCTGGCTTACTCTCTGTGCTCCTCAGATCTTTCCTCTAGCTGTATGTCCTTGATCATGGAAGCCTTCCTGGACACCCGGCCCATTCCCCGCTTATAGGTCAGATCCACGTTGTGCACTCTGTGCTGTGCACTCAGCACCCTGGCTTTACTGCGCGGCACTTATCCCTGTTATAATTCATCACTTACTGGTCTGATTATTACCGGTTTGTTCCATTACACTGTAAACTCCATCAGTGCAATATCATTGCTGGTTTTTGCTCCCTAGAATCGGCCATGCTAGTGGTTTTATCCCCAGAATCGGCTGTGCTAGTGGTTAGCACATAGTAAGCACTCAGTAAATTTTACTTGAGTACTTTGGTTTTCAAGCTTGTTCCACTCAGTTCGCCCCACAGTGTCTTAAATTTCTAAGAAATCAATTAAAGTAGAAAGAGACAAATATGTTCATCACTTTCCAGTTTGGGATATTAGGAAAAAATTACAAGGATTTTTTTTTTTAACCTATTAAGCAATTAGAATACATTGTGATGTGTAAATGGAGGTTTAAAAAAATAGCACTTTCATATCTCTGTATTTAGAGACTATGTTTGTGTGTACATTCTCACCACTGTGCCATGTTATTTCTCACTGTAACGTCTGTAAGGCTTCTCATATCTACCTATATGTTCCTCCCTCTCAGAACAGTATTGCTACATTAGTAAGTACTCCATAAATGCTAGTGGAGCTGATTTTACTGGTTAAAAAATAAAACCAATTTCTTCAGGACTGGGGTGGTATTACAATTACAGATAGTATAATTTGTACCTTAAGATTTCAGGAGGATACGGAAGCATCATATAATAGGGGACTTAAAACTGGATTAGGGGCTGGGTGCGGTGGCTCATGCCTATAATCCCAGCACTTTGGGAGGCCAAGGCGGGTGGATCACAAGGTCAGGAGTTTGACACCAGCCTGGCCAATATGGTGAAACACTGTCTCTACTAAAAATACAGAAATTAGCCTGGCGTGGTGACAGTCACCTGTAGTTCCAGCTACTCAGGAGGCTGAGGCAGGAGAATCACTTGAACCGGGGAGGCAGAGGTTGCAGTGAGCCGAGATCGCACCACTGTACTCCAGCCTGGGTGACAGAACGAGACTCCATCTCAAAACAAAACAAAACAAAAAACCTGATTAGGATAGCAGGACAAACAAATAGCTTGATAGAGATGGAGTTGGGGATCAGAGCAGTGGTGGACATTCTGAAGGGATAAGCCTCTGGTCTCACCTGGGATCACTCTACCATGATATGTTCTAGGAGGGGTTGGGAGTATACATGCCTGAATGGTCAGGTGATAGAATGCCAGCGGAGTTTGCACTGAGGATAATGGAGCAAAACGGGGACTAGAAAAGGGAGGTTGGGGGTGAGTTTTTCCTCATTGTCGACTAGTATGGAGAGATGATGAGTACCATTGGCCTCTTCTACATAGAATGAGAAGTTGCTGCTCTAAATCGTGCTTTTTAGTGGCCCAGTAGTTGAACCTAGTGAACTAAGCACTATAATGAATCTTAGAGCAAAACTCAGAGTAAATCTAAGTTCATGAACTCATGTAAATTACCTTGATTGGCCTGACTTACTGGGTAAGTAAATGGAAGAGTAAAACGTTTCTACAACAGCCAAAAACAAGACAAGAACTTACAGAGTATTTTTAATGTTTTATCTAATGAAAATGTCTTTACTTTGGAAGTCTGTGAAAAGTACTGTTTATTTAAAACTAGTGGATTCTAGATAAAGGAATTTGACATTAGATGAATTTCAAACTTTAGTCTTTGGAGAATATTTTAGTTCTGTAAGCAAACTTTTTCATATTAAAAACATTTACATTTGTTAGGTGATTCTGGAGAAGTTTGGATAATTTTGTGGGCAAAAATTTGGTAAATAGAGAGAGTAGGGGAAAGGTCTTACTGTTTGTGCTGCAGAAACACAAAAATAGGATGCTCATATTTTTTGTTTTTCCTTCCTTGTGATCCTTGCTGGCCTCATTTGTATTGTACCGAATATGGGAGAGGTGAGGCAGGAGACAAGCCAGTTTTTCATGGGTATTTATTATTATGAATACCATGTCACAGAGGCAATAGGCATGTGATTACTGTAATATGCCACTGAGTGTGATAAATGTCAAATGCATGCAAGGATTCTTCCCTTTGTAGCCTGGCCTCTTAGATTGGCCACTTATCTCCTTCTTTTTCTTCTATTAAATTTATCTCTTGCAGATAAAACATTTTCAAAGTAAATATTGATTTTATTCACATTATTAATGTGTAGCTATCAAACTTGACAGAATATTTAATATCACAATTTTTGAAGTGTATATTATCATCATGGTTACTAATGAAAAGTAAGTTTCTCCGTACTGTTACCCCTCCGTCATTCAAATCTTTATAATATTTTTATACTTAAGTCAAATGTTTTGACATCCAAACCTAAAAGACAAGCGGGAAAAAAACACGGATTTGTTGTTGCACTAGAGGGCGCCGTATTCCAGTTCTTCCTGAGAAAGAAGTCCTTTGGTCCAAAGTTTGCATTTCCATTGAGCAGATGCTGAGGGGAAGGCAATGTCCCTGCTCTACCTTGAGGAATTTCACCATTCCAGGTCATGAGTCTGGTTTTTAAAACAATATCCATATCCACCTGTGTTTTGCCTCCTAAATAATCAGAAGGATGATTATTTAGAAAACTAAGCATAGATTTTGTTGTTCAAATATTTCAGAGCTTCTTTTAAAATTGCCTTTAAGAGCTGATGTGGTATTTCCTTTTTGTGTGCCCTCAATGGAGTACAACATTTATTTTTTGAAAGCCAAATTTCTGGAAACAACCTAAAGTTATTTGGTACCAAGGAGATGCATATTCAAATCAGATAGTGCTAGATATAGTTTGCCATTGAAAGTAATGGCAAAACCCGTGATTACTTTTGCACCAACCTAGTAGATCTAAGAAGGTGCTAATTGTATGACGTAGATTCTCAACTACCTGAGAGTCATCAATCATGATAACTCTTTCTTCCTGGCCACCCACTGCAAGTCTTGTTGCTTCTGTGACATGTTATTCATAATAATAAATGCCCATGAAATCACCTCCCAACTGCAAAACTACAGCACTGGTAGTAACTTAAATCTTTCTGTGTGATCTAGTTATGAGTTAACTAGAGTTCATTATTTTCTTGCTCCCCTTTTTATATGATTTTGTTATATAAAAAGGAAATTGTATTTTAATTTTATAAAAAGAATATCATGTGTTATATGATCTTCTGGACTTTTGTAAACTTAAAATTATATTGCCATGATTCATTCAGGTCATTATGTTTAGCTGAAGTTCATTTATTATGACTGCTGTCAACTATTACATTCTATAACTTTGAGATTATTTATTGATTTCACTGTTGATGGTCATTTGGGTCATTGAAGGTTTTGCTGTGAAAAATAGTGATACCATGAACGTTCTCGTACATATGTCCAGATACACAAATGCAACCATTTCTCTAACAATAAACTTCAGTTAATTATGTTTTCCTCTAAAAATCTACACATAAGAATGTAATCGTTCGCTGGCATTTTCTGCATTCCAAACAAATTTAAGCAGAAATTCATGAAGAAAGTTTCCAGAATGATTAGTTCAACGTATTCATTTTCTTACCGACTGGCTAAACTGTTAAGGAGCCAGAATTATTTCTGGTGCTTTGGACATTTGTATGGTCTTGTTTCCTCTTAGTACCTGTTGTCAATGTAACTAACACAGAATAACATAGCTATAATACAATGATGTGTAGAAATAAGTAGCTGTAATATGCATATGGCTAGATGAAGTTGACAGGCCCAGTTCCATGAGACACTTCAGATAAAGGTAGGCCTCATTCTCATTCTAGTCCTTCCTGTAGTGCCGCCTCACTGAAATCTGGAATATGTTTTCCTGGACTGCCATCATTCATAATCATGTGGGCGAGTGTGGATGGAAATACCAGCAAATCCTTTATTATCCAGGAAAGCAGCTCTCTCTACAACCAATATGATAAACCTAAGGATACTGCTGAGAGTCTACTACCTAAACTCAACGTATTCTTTGAATATGTATTGAATGTATACTAAATCTAGCATTGTAAACCACTCACTGTTCTTGTACCATAGAAACACTTTCAGGCTTTTTCTTATTTTCAAGCAGAAAGGTTGCTAGTTTTAGAGGTGTCAAAAATGCAGCCTGGCCCAGCTTAAGTTCCCTTGTTTATTTATCTTCGATCTTCAGGACTGAGAAATCTAAAAAACAAAACCACTCAGATTCCTTGGGTGACAGAAAGATCAAAGAGCCTGAAGAAACCAGTTCACTCGAACATCAGAGTGACAATGAGTTAAAATCAAAATGTTTTCTTTCTCGC